GCGTCAGGTTTGCCAATCATAACAATCAGAACAACATTACCGCGTGCGCAGCGCAAGATCAATCATTCGTGTGATTGCACTTCAGTCTAGGGATGTCAATCATAATCAGTCGGGTCGAGGCACGCTACTTCTAAAGCGGATTGTTAAGAACTAGCTTGTCAAGAACTAGCTTGTTAAGAACTAGCTTGTCTGCGCTAATTGCTGCCGTGTCATCGTTAAGGCAATTGCTGGACATCGCGTGTCAGGTCACTGAGCTGGACCTGCTGCCGCGCTCCACAGCTGGATTGTGTTCCAATAACGACTGCTGGATCAGCGTGCTGGATTACTCTGATGACCTTTATCATTTACAGCCCAGCTACATCTTAATGCAATGACTGTCTCTTATACACATCTAGATGTGTATAAGAGACAGTCCCTGGAGGGACTGGCGCAGGAGGCAGGCAACCAGTTCATCAGAGGGCTCTTCATGTCGGGCGCCGCGCCCTCCTCTGCCCGTGGCAAGCTCACCTTCATCTCCATCGCTGCCAAGTTCAAGACGCAACTTCAGGAACTCATGGATAAACTCATGAGCACTGTTAGTGCCTTCTGTGTTGTGTTCGTTATTATTGTTATTATTGTTGGTAATCATGACGCAACTTTAAGAACTCATGGATAAACTCATGCGCACCGTCAGTGCCTTTTGTGTTGTGTTCGTTATTATTGTTATTATTATTAGTTTATCAACGAAGAAGGTTGTTGTCTTAGAGGGCTTGTTACTTACTGAGGAAACTATTAATATGTTTGAAGATAAGCAAAAAATACGGTCTACATGAGCACCTTCATGTTGCTTTCACTCTCCACACGAGCACTGTTTGGGCAATGAGCATATTATGTATGAGAACTTAAATGCATGCTCTTTACGCAACAAGCGCTTACACACCTCTCTTCGTGTGTTTCGCATTATGCCATAGGTTTAGCATTTATAACATTTAAGCCAGTTAGCAGTAAAATATGACTTTGTCACTTTTGGCCATTTAGTCAGAAAATATTAGCCAGTTTGTCCAAAAATAGGACTTCGGCCAGTTGGTCGTTAAAATCATTTTGCTGACTTGCTGGCCAGCTAGCTTTATAAAATATGATTTTTACTTCATTTGGCCCATTGAACCTAAAATACAACTTTACCCCATTTTGTCAGTTGTAAAATACGACTATATATCTAATATATTCGCAATTGCAGGGCACGAGCTTCGTGCGATGCATCAAGCCCAACGTGAAGATGGTGGACCACGAGTTCGAGGGCGGACCAATCCTGTCGCAGCTGCAGTGCTCGGGCATGACCTCCGTGCTAGAGCTCATGCAGCAGGGCTACCCTTCCAGGGCTCCCTTCCATGACCTTTACCACATGTACAAGCAGTTCCTCCCTGCCCAGCTCTCGAGGCTCGACCCCAGACTCTTCTGCAAGGTCTGCTCAGGCTTAAACTAGGTCTAGATAAGGCTAGTGTTCGTGGTTTCTGTTGATAAATTGATGGACTTTTTTTTAGAGATTCATAAAATCAGTTTGTACACAATGTCATGTGCCTTTACTGATCACGTAGTAAATCTCCCGGTTTATTTAACAAAATTTTGTTATTTCTTTGGGTAATTGACTAATTTCTAAGCATTTGGTATTCAACCGTCGATGATTGGTACTCGGATTAATTTGAACTAGATTATCCGAGTACTTGGACTAATTTGATCTAGATTATCTGAGCACCTTCAAAGTTTTCGACCCTCTGAAGCTCCTCATTTATTTATCTTTTTATTTGGACAGGCTCTGTTTCGTGCACTGGGTCTGGATGAGAAGGACTTCAAGTTCGGCTTAACGCGCGTGTTCTTCCGTCCCGGAAAGTATGCAGAATTCGATCAGATTATGCGCAGTGACCCTGAGAACCTGAAGCTCCTTGTTGACAAGGTGCGCCGCTGGCTGTTGCAGTCACGCTGGAAGAAAGCCATTTGGTGCGCCCTCTCTGTCATTAAACTCAAGTATAAAATCATCTACAGACGTGNAGGAGAGAAGTAGGGTCGTATAGGCCTGGGGAGAGAGAAGTAGGGTCGAGATGTGTATAAGAGACAGGGTCTCGTGAGCTAGAGATGCTGGTCTTGTTGCGTCTCGTGGCATGAGAAGAGGTCTCGTGAGCTAGAGATGCTGGTCTTGTTGCGTCTCGTGGCATGTGAAGAGGTCTCGAACTGGTGGTCTTTTCCTGCGATCTATTTTGCAACATTTTTTTTAAATTGAAGTTTCTCTATTTCTCTGTTTGATGTCGTTATTTTGTAAGATTTTTTTCAATTTAAAGTTTCCCTATTCTTCTATTAGATGTCTGTTTCAGTAATCTAGTCATAATTTGAATTGAAATGTTGCTGAAATTGTTCATCCTTGAGATTTATCGACAATAAAAATAGCAAGTATTGTTGGTAGCGACACTACAGCCTTCCTTGGCCTGGTGCACGCTAGTTGCCTATTGTGCACCCTAACTAGCTAGGTATTAATAGCACATCTTCACTAGTTATCTATGGTTCAATCAAAATTTTTTCTTAGTTGTGTAGTTCGCTACAGACTTGCCTAATTTTGTCTATCCGCCATTACTACGATACTTATCAAGTGTTTCAGCATCAAACCTTGATACTTTCAACATCCATAAATACCACTTTTAGCATCAACATATAATATGGTGATGTGAACATTTTTGTCGACATTTTAGAACCGAGCGTTTGATGTAAAAAGATTAAAGTTATTTAGCCGCGTTATCTTCTGTAAGTTGAACATCAATTATTACAAGGTTCACCCCTAGCAGTTTATTAGTGGTCGTTTGCGAAATTTTTTCGCTAATTTATAGAAGTTTCTCTACTTACTATTTACTTAGTGCCAATATATAATTGCATTTTATTTAATTATCGATTATTTAAAAATCTCTAAATTTCAGCAAGTTTCTCTTAGTCTAGTCAGTAAGGAGCAGCCATGTTAGTCGGCAAACCGCTTCAATGTTTTATAGTTTTGCATTCTTTTAATTTTCGTACAGCTTAGTGACCGCCATCTTGCCGCACTTGTTTCTTCGCCCGCATTTTTTCTGTTACTAAATTTTAATTGTATTTTTTCTCTCGCATTTTTTTTGCTGCTACATTTTAAGTTTTTCACCCGCATTTTCTTTCTTGCTAAATTCTAATTTCATTTTTTTTCCGCATTTTCTTTGCTGCCAAATTTTTATTTATTTCCCCCCGCATTTTCTTCATTGCTTAATTTTAATTTTTAATTTGTTCTCCCATATTTTCTTCATTGCTTAATTTTAATTTTTAATTTGTTCTCCCGCATTTTTTCGTTGCTTAATTTTAATTTTTAATTTTTCTCCCGCATTTTCTTCGTTGCTTAATTTTAATTTTCAATTTTTCTTCCGCATTTTCTTCGTTGCTTAACTTTAATTTTTTATTTTTTCTCCAGCATTTCTTCGTTGTTAAATTTTAATTTTCGTTTCTCCACACCC